TAAACCACCCATGACTTGCTGTGAAGGTTTGCTCGCACTCATCTCCTGCCTGCTCCTCCAGGCTTTCGAAAAGGCTTCTTGCCTTAGCCTGTAGGGTTAGAAGGCTTAAGGGTACACGCTTCTGTATCTGGTCTTCCATCCATATCACAAGTAATTTTTCCATCTCATGAACGGGACCTTGTCTTTTCTTCATTATTATAATTCCCTTTATAGGTGCTGATCCTTTCACTACTTCACGAATACGTTCCTTGTCCCTCAAAATAGTAGATATGGTCGAGTGAGAGAAGCCTAGGTCGCGTGAAATTGTTGCTACAGTTTTTCCATTTTCATACCGCATTATTATCTTCATTTTCGTCTCAAAAGTAATTGACTGTCTCCTTTTCTTCTGAGCACTACCAGCACTCTCACTTGTATGCTTTCCAGTCATTCTAAAGTCAATTAAATACGAAAATAATGTCAGTACACAGCGCGATCATGCCTCCACATTGATAGGACATCAAATAGGTTATGTCATTGCTGTAAGTGTCTTCTGTATTTTAATATATACTGACGTGATATAATTCCCAGTATTTATTAGACAGAAAATGTGGACATTTTCTTTTGATCCCAGGGAGGACAAGAATGTTCATAATTTCAAACAACATATTTTAATGATGTCAAAGACACTTCTTAAAATAAAAATGATAGTTCTACAACAAAGTATCACAGACTGTAAATTTTCAGCCATGCCGTGTAGAACCCTTCATTGTTCTCCGCAAAAATGAATGTTTCGTTGAAAGAGTCTTATGCACCACACACTCATTCATCTAGCGTGATTACAGTAGCAAAAGTTGTACATTGCTAAGAAGGTGTGTTCTTAAACACAAAGTAGGCGAAGATTATTTCTGCCATGTTATTCCGTGATTTGCTTACCCAAGTTAACGATTCCACTATTGTCTTGATATTGGCAGTAATGTTTGTGTTTTAAGTCGGAATCATCCAATTTTGCCATTGTACATGAGATACTAGCCCGTAAGACACTTAAGTCTAGGACCCCAGTAGTTGATGAATCTATGGTTTCAGAGTCCCCAGCTGAGTGTTTACACATGTTTGTAACATGGTTAGGCTTATGTATAGGATGTTTATCTGCGAGTTTAGTGTAGTCCTCGCGGAGCTCGGAGGGTAGGTGACCGAGCGATGTAATGGCCCTTGTTTCATAAACAGAAGAATTATATAAATGGGTTACTTACATTTGATTTATATACTGATTCACCCCATTTAACTTTCCACTGGCCACGAGGTGACACGTTCAGTGCACGTGATAGGGTGTGCCCACGGGAAGCCGCGTCACATTATGCCGAGTAAAGGCATTTGTAGCCGGCTCTCTGGCCACCCAAAGCGGGCAGTAGTTTGATATCCTTGACTAGAGGAAGACATTATTTGAGAGTCATCATGGATGGCTCCGTCTTCCCTCGAGGGAGGACGACGTGCCTATTCCGTTCTCCCTCGATGGGTCACTACTCAGTCATACTCATACTCTTACATCGAACGGACGTGATTAAATGGTCTATTTACATAGCCGCCGTCCTCTCTTTTCACACTCATAAATAGTGGAAGTTACGGTTGATCTACACTCAGGTATTATATAAACAATACTTTTTAATAAAAGCAGAAACTTCAATTGGGTTTTGTTACTTAAGCCCAATATAATATAAATGTACCAACCTGGTTACCTTTGAATTAACCAGCCGGTTCAAGTTCAATATACATAAATGCAATATTGTTCTTCATCATCCAACCTCTAAAGGTCTCTAGGTTGAACTTTAAAATTGCAAGGTTCTTGAATCTCTGTCACAGTGTTAGTCCTCATAGTTTTGCACGAGATGATTGGGCCCTACAGGTTCAAACCTCACTTATTGGTGCGATTAACAAATCCCTTAACAAAACTCCTCACTGCTTTATATATGGGTATGATAAACATCTCCCTTATGAAATGTTATGCAATCCTCATTCAATTTTATAATTACAATGACTTTCAAAGATTCCATCAAAGAGTAAAGAAGAATTTAAAATTATCAAAGGAAGTTATGCTTCAGCAGCAACATAGGCTTGCATCACACGAGTAAAATAAAAAGGGGGTCATTCATCAGTTACATGCAAAGTTCACTGGTCCTTTTCATGCCCTCCCATATCAGGGGAAATAAGTGTAATGTTCTGAATATGGATACATTCGAGTCCAAGATTGTTCATGCTGATCATTTGAAACTAGTGCCTCGTTATACAGTTCCTCCTGGTGTTCATGATCAATGCCAATCTCCACTGTCACCCTTACTCGAGATAGGTGCTATGTACTACACTTGCACCCTTGTGCTGGATTTGGGTCTGAACTTTTCTCCCCTGGGCCATGATGAGGCAATTCACCCTGGGGCTCTTGTTTGACCTCTGGGTGAACTACTCGTGGTAGAGGACGTGGTCTCCATTTCCTACAACCTGGAAACGTTGGTCCTCCTATCAGCAGAATTGCAAAGAATGGCACAAGAAATTGACATTCTTATAAAGAAACCCAAAGAGAAATGTCCTGAACCCAAGTCTCAACTTTATCCGTTCATGTCATAATCTAATTTGAATGCCCATATTACTAAATTTGCTCAAATTCTCGTGAATGCTGCTAATGGGGGAAGTCTCCATGGATCTTGTTTAATTTTTTCAACTTCGTTCAGTACATAGTCTGAGTTTGAATTGACTCCTTTCTTTCCTGATTTATGAAGTGAACTTTATTATGCAATATTGGAGGCTCCCTTTACCTTGTCTTCAATTGTGGTACAAGTTCTATTTTGTTCTAAGGTCCAATTTGTTCTATTTGAAATGTTCCCTTTCTTTCTCAAAGTCAATGACATCTTACTCAGTATCAATGTCATACACTATTTTCATAGTTTGATGATCGCATATCAATTAATTACACTGATTATCAGGCTCTATACAAGTGTTCTTCAGTATTGGACTTGAGTCATTGTATATATGCCTGGCATTTTTATTTTCTATTCTGTCGGTTTTCTTGGCTAAGTGAGATACGGCGATTGTTCAGAAATTTTCTGTTCGATCAAAGTGTCAGTTTACTCATGCTTCACACTATCTTGTATTTGATGTTCACATTGGCCAACTACATACAATAATTTAATTTTCATCACCGACCAACGTGTTGACCATTTTGGGCCCCTTATGATAGACTTAATACATCACCATGACAAAGAGTTTATTAGGTACCAATCTTTTAATAAACAGAATATTTTTATAAGGCACAAATCTTTTAATAGATAAACGACTTTTAATAAGCTCAACACTTACACCCAAGATGGAGGAGGCCAGGGGAGAGAGACACTCAAATCTTTCATGTGAGACTGTTGTTTCACAGCCCTAGGTCCACAATTATATTCCAATCTTTCCCATTTTTTTTAATGGGAATTAGCCCACCCGGGCACAGGTCAAACGACCCACAACGGGGCCTAGGGGGCCCCGTTGTACATACCCCAGTACAGCATTTTAAAGGAACAAGAAAAATTAGCATTATGAAGTATGGTATATGTTAAAAAAGATTTTATGCTTAAATCATCTAGTCTCTCTCTCACGCACGCAACCACTGTATATAGCTCGCATCATATTCTTTGATATTCATATCATTGACAGTTTATCAAATGTAGAACATTTTACAGTATCGTCTGCATTTACGCGGTCAATTGAATCCGTGGAGGCCCACGTAAAACGAGAAATGCGTAAATGAAATAACAGAACATATGAGATTAATTGAAATAGAGACTGGGCCGACCCCCCAAACTCCACTTTTTCCGACACAATACGTACGTTGTAGTAAAAATAACATCTTAATTTTATGATGGTATGCACACACAATTAATAATTAAGAGAAATATCAATAATATTTGGTTTTTTAACACTTACGTTAGTAGAAAAGCTGGGTCGGCACACGTGGATGGCGGCTGGTTCCGAGGCAGAGGGCAGATTAGTTGCCCTCCGGTGAATCACTTTCACTACTCGCAGAGGTTTGCAGGGCCTCCCAGACAAACCCCTCAAAGTCCATATTCTCACTGTCAATATAACTATCACTGACTTGGGCTGGCTGTGGTTGTGGTGGGTTGCGGGCGAGGAAGTCCTCAATACTACGTTGACGACTAGCATTGACTTTATCGAGATAGATCTGGATATACGGCTCCATAACTTTCGTCAGATGGTTATTAGACACTTCATACCGATGCTTATCTGGGTCGTTGTCAAGGATGAGCTTAATTTTCTCCCCCAACTCGATGATTTCCTTCACATTATCATGGCTTGGTCCAGGTAATTCAATGTTTTTCTCGGGTGGTGGGGGTCCCGAGGAAGCCATTGTGAGTAGTGAGGGGAATAGCGGGCACAAGAGAGAACTGTATACGCGGACTGAGAACAATGAGACAGGCCCTGCTAGGTCAGCGACTTCTACCCTATGGTGGCAGGGCACGTCATGTTACATTAGACCAATCACAGCTAGTGGCGGAGGGAATGCGTGGGTGGTAAGGATGCGTGGTCCAATCACAGTCCGATAAGTCATATGACATCAGCGATAACGTAAGAGTGGCCTAATGCGCACCACTCACTGTGCCGCTTCCCGCGTATGGTCAAGAATGGACCGCGTGGGTAAAAAATGGCGCGGCGGTCTGGACCTCTCCAGCCGCTCGCCGCGTAAATGACCAAATTTACCGCGTAATTAAAGCATTTTCATTCTACAAGGCATCGCGTAAATGACCAAAAGCGTACCCGGTAAACAAAAACCGCATAAATGCAGACTATACTGTATTGAAAAAATAATGAAAACATCTTATACAGTAAGTTTCAAATTCATGTCAGTTATACACAGAAAATAAGGACCACACAACATAATGGTATGCAACCTCTTTAGCTGAGAAAAGTAATTAATTTCAGCTTCACACCATCACAGATACTGAATCTATGAGATCAGAATTTCCAAACACTCCTTTTGTGCCCCAAATTTTTTATTTATATCATCAATGTGAGTTAATGAAGTTTTTGTTGTACAGTACAGTACAATATATTGAAAAGTACATCAATACTTTGACGTTTCTTATCTATGTAGAGGTGCTCTAAAATGCATCCTCTAAATTATGCAGTTATATTTTTACTAGGTATTGTACTATAAACAATTCATCTATTTTATTCATAAACCGATTCCCATAAAATTTTTTGAACTAAAAATAATCACATAATGGTAGATACAAAAGACCACAAGAAATCCATGAAATAAAATGATTATGTTAACACAACCAGCGCAAAAGAATAAACCAAGCAACTTATCTTCTGGATATGCGAACATTTGCTGGGTATATGGAAATTTGAAGATAACTTGCAGGATATTAAAATTAAAATATGATTTCAATATACTGCATGCTACATTTGGTATACTTTTTTAACTCTGTAATTTATAATATTCCATCAGTATTCAAAATCTTTTCATTATTACCATTTCTGCCTTGATATTTACATCTACTACTGTATATCTAAATTTGATCAGATTACACACAAACATCTTCTAAATTTGCATCTATCTACACATGTAATATTTACTCTGTTAAATCTGTACATTTTCATTTAGATGTCTTAATTCAGAGACTAATACTTCTATTAAGACTCTTGCTACAATACCTTCCTTTATACAGTACAGTGTAAGTATAGTACCTGTACAGTACTGGATGTAAGGAAGGTTCAAGAAAAGTAATTCCCTGATATGGTGTGGATAAATATATCTCAAAGTAATAAAGGAAGTAAGTAGAAAAATGATGAGATAATCTCACAATACAGAGTTAAAGACCATACCCTTAAAGTCATGTAAATAATAATAAATGATACACAAATTTTCAATTAAATATTTAAGTGATGTATGAAGTTGGTTGGCAGTTCTGACCACGAGCATCCACTTTCACTCTGGCCTTCTGGCCTTGTCAGTGAGAGTTTCATTAACACCAGAAAAATCAACCAAAACTAAAGTAATTGTAATACATTTGCCTAAACAACTTACAAAAATTACATAGTTTTATCCCAGTGTTCTGAGTATGACATGACATCAGGTTATGATTTAGAGAGAAAACAACCACTTTCACTTGGTTTCTCTGGCCCTGTTAGTGAAAGATTCATTAACACCATGAGAACCAACAATTATTTCCACCATTGTTCTCAGCTATCTTTATTAAGACATCTTTGAAGCATATATTTTCATTAATATTAAACAATATGTGTGTGCAATAATGGAGTCTAATAAAATTGTTTACTTACAAATATTACATGAATCATATTTTCCTCCAAAAACATCTTAAATCTGTACTTTTCAAATTTTACATTTTATAAAGAAAATTGTGGTTCAATTAAACTTCGAATTAAAAAAAAAAATCAATAAAATGCCCAAAACACTGATAATAAAACTATATATTTCCTAGTCAGCAACCAATATGAGCCATCATCCCAAATTCATCTATGAACCGAAAGTTCACTGCAATGTCACAGAATGTGTTTTAGTAATTTTACATTAATCTAAAAATTATATTCACTCCCCAAATGATTAGATCACTGAGGTAAACTAAGTTTCATAAGACTACAGGGGTATAGCAGAAAAAGAAATACAGACAAAGTGTAAGATACAAGAATGAGAAATAATTCCCTCAAGAGGATAAGGAATAATAAGGAACTGTACACAGTGAGGACTTGTATATGAAAGAGGAACTGTGGTTCCAAAAGAAAATCTCACTGATATGAATTAATTTCAAATACTGTATAGCAATTTATTTATAAAATTAATACCTGTATATCACTTGCTTAATACACCCAATAACACAAATTTATCAAAACATGTTCCAACTTAACACCATTGACAACAATTGCTGTGACATCACAAAGTGGGATTAGTAACAGCTCACAGCAGGTGACTGACTCTTATTTAGCCTCATCCCCCTCCATTTTTAGGTAACATATCGGACATTTTTTTTGCTTCACCCTTGCCAAGTGGGACAGCCTTGGCAGCTTGTTTCACTTGCTTTAGTTCTATATCCCTTCTGTGCTCTGCTCTAATTCTTTCAGCAATTGCTTTACGTTCTGCCTGTAAATAAAGAAGTAAACATTACCATGGTTTGATCTTTAATTTATCTCCCAGTAACAGCAAAGCTCTTGAATATCTCAACAACAAAGCACCATGCAAGATATATTTAAAGGATTCCACTTATAGGCCATAAAGAGGAGGTAATCTGACACTGTACAGTATAGAGATATTACATGTAAAAAATTTTCATCTCTGGGTGCCAGAGTTTGAACCCAGACCACCAAGATTGGACCACAATCCAGTGGATAGCTGACTGACTGCCAACTTTGGTGGTCTGAGTCCAAACCTTGGCAACCAGAGGTGAAATTGTTTACACTGATTTACCTGTGTACATTACAGGTTCTAATTTATATGAGGTATCATATGATATCAATGTTTGTTCTCATGTAATTTTACTGGGACACTCACAAACACCACTTCTGAACGAGAAAAAGGACCACTAACAACAGTAAACAATGCATCTGCACCACTTAAAACTATACGTGCCCAAGCTGGGCCACATCTACGTACCACTAAGATTTAGAAACCATTAGACAATTAACAGGATGTACTAAACCAAAAATATTTGCCAGCTACAACATGAATCAAGACTATTCCACATACACCACCACCTTGACAACAGAGAGACACAGTTCTTGTCTCAGCACAAATTCTTAATCCTTCCTCCAACTTCCCACTTCAAAATCACAAAAAAATTCATGAGCACAAAACACTACACCCACACAGTTTAAAATATCCTATTTACACCTTCTCATCATGACAATCCACAAACAATTTTGAAACGACTTTGCAACTTCATCCATCCAAAAACCCTACTAAACAGCTTATTGAACATCCACATCTCAAAACCAATTTTTTTCTTCAGATATATGGGCATGGGGCTTGCATTCCCAGAAAATGCTGTATAGAGTGAACCCATTATAACAGGGAGAGATAGGGGTTGCGTCAGGTGCACAACAAAAAGCCGCTCCCCACCAAAAACAATCCAAAATTAAAATTCAAAGACATCACACAGCTCTAAAGTAGCGGACTAATACACAAACATCTACCAAATTCACTTATACATGCTGTTGTGGAGGCACTGGTATGTCCATGAAATTAGTCCTGAATGTTTAACACTGCCGCCATTTGTTGAGGCTAGCTGAGTCACGCATGGCCACCCTCATGCCTCAACATAGCAACCCGACCTAGCTGGAGACTCTTCCCCCTCCTGACCCTTAGCAACACTCCCCTTGCTGCTGGCACATAAAATTTTTTGACCTAATGATAATTTTTTTTTTTGCACATTCTTTATGTAGGATTGTGTGTGCATGTAACTGGAAAAAAAAGAAGAAGTCAAGTTTACCCACCAGATTTTGAGTTGAAAAATGACCGTAACATAATTCCTGCTAAATCTCGCTGGAGGATGAAGAAATGTTTTATTAATTTTATGTTTTTGACCTAATGATAATTATAATAATTATTTTTTTTACACATTCTGTATGTAGGAGTATGTGCATGTAATTGAATAAATAAAGTAGAACCTAAATAAACTGGATTGATTGGGGCAGACCCCTGTATGGAAAATGAGAAAGTCCGAAAATAGTGATTCTTTGGGGGTCCAAACATAACCCTGCTTATCTGGACTGTTTCCAGAAAATCAGACATAAGTCTCATTGTCGATAACTGTTTTCACTGATATGACTGTTTCATACTGTAAAGTGTTTACCCATACTATAAATAGTAGAAGAGCATCTCCATGTGTACTAGGTAGAAGTGTGGCTAATGAGCCAATCAAATGGCAAAGAGGATACAAGTATAAAAGTAAAAAGTAAGTAAAAGTTAGAAGGGTGTTAAACAGTGTGACCCTACCAAACATCACAGGTCTTCTCTGGGTACTTTTGTTTCTTCCTGTACTGTACTAACACAGGATAATAAAGGTCATACAAAGTAAAACAAATTATATAAAATAAAATAAAAATAAAATAAAATGAACCATGCCCAAATGACGCTCAGTGTAGTTGAGTTAATTGTGAGCAGTATTTTAAAGGGTTTCAATGGAATATATATTATATTGTAATGGTCACCTACTGGGGAATTTTCTCTCCTTAGTGGTTGGTGTTGAGTAAACCATGAATGGCCTACCCACAAACGACAGAAGAGGATGTCTTCTGCCATGGAACATTGTGGCGGTGTTCACAATTTTAACAACTGAGGTTTGATTTCTCTACTGCCACGTTTGGTTTAGAAATAATGAAATAAACAGGTCTATTGGAGAAATTGGAATTAGATGGACTCTGGTAAGGAGGTTGCTTTTCTGGCCAGTCTATCTGCTTGCACTCTGATAGGTCCTGCCACCTAACTTAAGATTATACAGTCTCACTGCAAATGGTTTTTAGACTGCTGATTTCGCACCAGAAGGATCTATCTTTCAACTTCCCAAAATTGGAAATACTATACCAAAGAGAATTTGCACACGAGCAGTTCGAAAAAATACCATGAAAAGAAAGAAAATAATATGTATATTTGTGCTATCTTTATATTTCAATAGTACAGTGATCCCTCGGTTAACGAATTACCTTCCATAAGAATCTTCAATTCGGTTAATGAAAAAAATTCGGTTAGCGAATTCCTTATGAATTCTTCCCAACATGTTTTCGCTTGCTCACTAGCTGGAATATTTTTCCGCCAATACAGTAATTGGTTCTAGGGCTTAAATTCGTTCCCATTTGAGTAAATATCAAGAAGGTTGTGCTATTCAATAATTTTAAAAGTTTTATATTAAAATTTTTAGTCATTTTAACAATTATTGAACATAATTGAAGTAGAATAAACTAGTTTTTAGCGCGCCAAACAGCCACTTGACTCACCCAGCAGGCGTCAGTTTGTGTCTCAGCTCAGTGGAGGTAACATCTTGCTTAAGACTCTCTTGAACATAAATTTGTTTCAAGTTTTTACAGTATAATTATTGGTCATTCTGAAATTTATTTTACACATTGACAATATATAGTGCAGTGCAGTGTTGATTTAAAGAAAATAATCTTGAATTACACCTAGTAAACTTAAAATTTTATGGGTGAAATGGCAGCATGAAGCATGGGGTGATTTCTCTTCCTCCCCCACTTCCTTCTCTTCTCCCTTCTCCTCCACCCCCACTTCTAATTCCAATCATTATCATCGTCAACCAGGAGCCTTCTTCATGCACACCTCAAAGTAAGTGTACTTTACTGCATCTATTTTTTGTTTGTATGTAATTTTCGGTGAGCTGGAACCAATTACCCAAAATCCCATTGAAACAATGGTTTCGGTTAACGAACGACCTTCTGGAACGAATTGTGTTCGTTAACCGAGGGACCACTGTAATCACATGGTGTTTGATTTGAGTGGCTTCAGCTGGATTTTAGTTCTGGTTTTCAGTTCAGCACTGTGTTGGCAAACAAGCATTCATTACCTCAATCAAATGAAATTCCTACAAAAAACCATGGAACTTATCATTATTGGAAACAAAGTTAGAAATTTTAAAAAGATTGTCAAATGATGAAACCAAGTCAGATCTTGGCCATGTTTATACAGTAATGTAGACAAATCCATCTTCAGGTCAATTCACCAAAATGTTAATGGAATAGAATAATCTGTTGAGCATTTGAGTGGTTTATCTGTGAAGATAGCTGGTCATGATGAATCCCTTGACTGAAGAAAAAAAAAAAAGAGGACAGAATGCTAACTGCGTGGATGAGGACAAAACTCAAAATAATGTGCCCTGAAGTACAGTACATTTGTACATTACTTGTATCATTCCACTGAAGGCCTTAAAAATTTATGATTATCCAAGGAAAGAACAAGGTTATTTTTCTGTCAAGATTTTCTAAGCCGGCCAATAATAGTTTGAATAATATAAAGAAAGACAATTGTTTCACAAGGCAGACGACATTTGTTGGTCATGCTGCACCCATTATTTTTTCTGCAAGGTTGAAAAAAACAAACAACAACTTTGGACTGGAGGCTACACGTTAAATTCCAACTACGGGTATAGTTCCTTTGAAAATCCATTTTAAGAAATAAAAATGTATAAAAATATTACAAAAACTTACCATTTCCTTTTTCAGAGCTGCCATTTCTTTTTTCTTCTCAGCTAAAGCTTTTTCCCGAAGCTCTTCATCACGTAGTTTCGCAGCATTTGGAACCACAACTTTTGTCTCCTCTACCCATTCCTTCTCATCAGGTTTCACCTCTCTGGCAAGTAAATCCATTATGTATTATCGTATTTTAACGCATATAGGACACTTTTAGTCTGAAAAATGGCAAAAGTAATCAGCCTGCTTCCCATAAGTGAAGTTGAGGTCTCCCACAAGCTAATGAACCCCCCAGTTGCTGCCTCCAGTAGGCTAAGTTTTAGCCGACCCATTTCCAGATTTAAAAATATGTTTTTGCTTACATAAACACATTATTACTATTTTTAATTAATTAAAAAATAATTATTGTAAATATAAAAACTCGATTTATAACTACTGTTGATAACCCGAGATGATTAACTTCCATACGACAGACACCCAACTCTTCAGAGGTAGCTAAGCAGTAACCATTTCTGAACTCTTACAAGCATTACAATCTATTAATTCCATACCTGCAACATTCATTTTGCAATCTACAAATACCTGATACAAATGAAGATTTACAGATAATTTTCTTTTCCCATTTGCATCTGTTAACATTGCTGGCAGCATTGTAGACAGGTTTGACTCATCACTGAGGCAACTGGGCCAAGTTGTGAGGTGTTATGTTTGTCTTTCATCTCATATTTTTGGGTAGATATACATAACTTTCTTCAATTATTTTTACTCAGTTACATGCACACACCATCCTACATACATATTGTGAAAAAGTAAAAGAAATAATTGCCGTAAGGGCAAACACATAAAGGGAATATACATTTCTTTGCACACACGTTAGCTGGCTGGCTAAGTGGGGGAGCAAGAGGAGGCGAGACGTGTGGGGAGGGAAGGGGGGGGGTGAGGGAGAACTGTGTTAAACTTTCATTTGGCTTTTATTTACTGGTACTGTATATATTATCTTAAGAATACTATGGATACAGGAGGAACTCCCAGCTAAAATGGGAGGGTGCATCTTATATGGCCGTGCGTCTTACAAGCTGTAAAATACGGTAATCAACAGTAATCACCAAACAATAACATAGTCCATCAGACTGTAACAACAATCAGACCAGACTTAACTTGGCAAGAGAACTTCACTCATTTACATACAGGAAAACCCCCATAATTTCAAATAATACGAGCTCTAACCCTTATGAAAAAATAAAACAACATTACTTTTCCGTTATCTGCCCCAATCAAACTCTAAACATCATTTTGGATGAAAATCCACTGAACACTGGTGGATTAGTACAACTAAAATTTATGATACACCAAATGAAAAAAATTAAGTGGTAATTCCATTACCAAATCTCAAAATAACTTAACAGTCCAACAGGTGCTGCACACTGTTGGGACCACAGGTGATGTAGTAATATGACTTTTAACACTTAATTTTTCAAGCAATGCACATTGAATAAAAATCCTAAACAGTCAACCAGCTGACTCACAGACATGTGGCTGCCACTCTGCATTGTGTGAATGCCATACATTAGGAGGGAGCATAGCACACAGTTATAGCCCACCGCCTCCACACATACAGCCCCCTGTATACAGTACACACCAATACATTATATTTTTCTATTTTATAGTTTTATATTATATTTTCTTTATTTCTAAGCCACATTAGATTACTGTAAGAATTTTTTGCAACTTTTATAATTTCCTTGCAAGTAACAATATACAAGGCTGAAAGTTGGCCACGTAGTTATAGCCAAGGCCTTGGCAATAACCGCTGTACTGCGCACACCATGGTCACCCTTTATCTCTCTTCATTCATATTACAGCTGCATACCATTGAGATTCACCGCGCTTGTAAAGAGTCACAGAAAACAGTAAACTTTGGAAGGGGTGACTCACATACTTTTATGTTATTTTATACGAATTGTGCCAATGTACGGACATATCATATTGTGTGTATGTACTGATAGTATTAAGGAGAAATCAAGGTATCTATACTGTAGTATGATTGGGAAGGTCCAATTGATACAGACTAGTGTACTAAGAAGGAATAAGTGTACTGTGTACCACGGTGTTGGAAGGTTACCGTATTTACGTCTGTGTACGATTACCGAACATAACTACTTCAGGTATCGAATGAAAATATATAAGGACAATGATCTGGAAAAAGGATAAACGTATCAGACATATGTGAAGTGTTGGGGTTGACCCATAAACTATACTCCAAAGAAAATATCTTATGTACCTCGGTGTGAGCTTAATAAACATCGTTACCCCATGTGATGAATAACCACAGAAAATGCAATGATCAGAGAACTTTTTGACTGTGTTGAACACTTGCAAAGTGTGGGGGACTGGTCCATAAATACAGAATAAAGTGTGGTGGAAATACCCAAGCTGAGAAACTTAGGCCTTTGTCATGTTGGCGTCCATTCTGCCCTAGGCTACAGTTTTGAGTTAATGATATAGCCCAATTAATTTTCCCAGGAACTGGCAAACCAGACATGTACTTTAATATGTAATTTAGAATTAAGGTATGTAATTATAATATATAGAAAGGTGTATGTGTGAGGACCAGAATAATGTCAAAGTGAGAATTAAGAATTGGCAGTCATAGGCCAAGTGAGGGCGAGACTTTGTGCCACGACCTCACCCAAGCAGGTCAGTACCCTAATGCTCGTAATACCCCACCGTACTTATAGAGGCCTATCTAGCAGTTTATGTACATCTTAAAACCTTGCCCAATGTTATAAAGTGAATTAATGAATTTTATAGTGTTGTTTGGTGATATGAAAACCCCTCAGGCATTATTCTCAGTCGGGCGTCGCTTTCCACCCACGCAGGAGTTCGCCCAGAGCATAGGTCTGCTCCACATCAGAAGATTGTCATAGAACCCTTCTCGAAGCAGGAGAGAAGGATGCTACAGTTGATGATGTGGAGGCTTGGCTGGAGGCTGATGAGGATGATCCTGGATACCACAACTTGACAGAGGAGGAAATTGTGGACTTTGATGATGATGAAGAGAAGGAAGATGAACCACCAAAAGTAAAGCTGCCAGAAGCTAGGGACTGCCTGGACACCCTTATAGAATTTACTCATCAGACTAAAAATAAAAAAATGGGGCCTAGCCTATTATGACCACTTAAGGCACTTGAGGGAACTTGTCATACAGGAGCAAAGAAGCAAGGTCACTCAAACAAAGATTGACACTTTTTTCAAGCCAAGACCCTCCAGCAGTGCCTCCTTGCCCTCACCATCAACTTCCTTGGCTGAGGAGGTTCTTCTTCCTATCCTCATTTCTGACTCAGACTCAGAGTGACTGTAAGCCTCTTGCAGTCAGAGGCATGTCCAGCTAGATCTGCCTTCCATTTTTTGGGGTATGTGTACTTTGTATGCATTACTTTTTTTAAATTAAGGTAATTGTTATTAAAAACACATATTTCTTTAATAAAAATTGGATACATTGGTATTGTACTAATTTTTTTATTAAAATGGAGGTCTTTTTTTTTTTAATTTGCCCTAAGGCGGACAACCTCTTATCCTGGACACCCCTTCCCCCAATTAGTCTGCCTTAGCGAGGTTTTACTGTATTGTTTAAAAAAGTAAAAGAAATAATTGTCCTAAGGGCAAACACATAAAAGGAATACACATTTCTTTGCACACGAGTTAGCTGGCTTAGTGGGAGAGCGAGAGGAAGGCTGGGCGGTTGGTGGTGGGGAGGAGCGCTGTGGGAATAGGAGGAGGTAACGCCACCATTGCTATGGTTCACAGGGAGTACAGATGTACATTACAGTAGTATCTCAAGTTTAGCGAGTTTTAGATTCATGATTCATATGTTTTGCGTCACTTTTAAAATTTCCAGCCTCTCAAGAATAGCAATTTTCATTACCAGTTTCGCGAGTCAATGGAGAGTGGGCAGGGCGCATTGTCGCCAGACCTTTGTTATCCGCCGACCCGCCAAGTGTTTTTCGTTTGCGGCAGTTAGTTTGAATGAGTGAGAGCGAGCGGTGCAGTGACCTTGGATTAAAAAACCCATTGTGCTTACATTTCGCGAGATTCTTGTTTAATTATTAACGATTCTTGTGTACTGTATTAAAGATTCTTGTGTATTAATGATTCTTGTGTATTAACAATTCTTGTGTACTAGCGATTCTTGTGCACTAGCGATTCTTGTGTATTAACGATGAGTGAGGTGAGTAATGTAAATGTCGGGAGCGGTTCTGGTGGTAATGATGGCCATAGAGAAGGTCATCAAGGAAAGCCCCAAGCCAAGCGTGACTACCGTAAGGGGGTAAAGAAGAGGAAATATACACTTGAAATGAAACGAGAGATGCTCGAGATGATCAAAAGTGGTGCTCATACCTGTGAAATCATGCGTAGGTTCAACTGCCCCGAATCAACCATACGTTCTCTTAAGAAGAACAAGGAAGCCTTCACTGCTTCTGTGAATGTATTCTTAAGATTTTCTAGTAATAGCATTATATTGTGTCAAAATATTTTGTTTAAGGATCTTTTATTAAAGCAGTCATGTATATAATTTGTTCAGGATCATTAAGGTAACAAATTCATCTCTCTAACACAATTAGAACTGATGCTGTTATTAGAAGTTTATTCACTTTTTCACTAACCATACATATTTTGCTCAAAGTGAAATGGGCAAGTGTTTGTCAGTGGGAGATGAGATGCATAGTTTAGAGTTGAGATGAGATGCATAGTTTAGACTCTCTTAGAGTCTCAGAAAACTTTCCCCACCCAGAAACATTCCGGAGATGTGCGATAGTGTCTGTTCTTGCGAGATGCGTAGCTTAGACTCTAGAAAACTTTTCCCAGTACTAGACCCAGAAGAGCTCTGCACCAATTGTTCCAGCTAACAGGGAAAATGTGCTTCGGTCTACAAAATTTTTATCATGAATGGAATAATTTTGTAAATCAGGGAATGCCAGTACTTACAAGAATAAAAGTTAACTAAAAATCAATGAATAAGTATAAATGAATAACAAAAAGAAAAAACCCTGAAAAGTCTGAAATTACTACAGAAGATGTGGTCAGAAACCAAAATTTCATAAATGCATTTGCATAGATGGTCAAGTAGATCAAACTTCAGCCTTTCAATTAATTTTACAATAAAGTTAACTGTTTTAGGATTAAATCTTGTTAGTTACCCAATTTCCTTACCTATTATCAAGAAGGATTTGAAGTTCCACCGTGAGGTCTACATGTGAAGGCAGCTGGACAGTCTCCTCTTTGATCATCCAGCCTGCAGCCACCATAACAAGCCTCCCTGGTTCATGTCTCCACACATCATTATTGAAGGTTTTGTTGGTTATCTTCAATATCCTAATAATAAAGAAAATATTTCCATGTTTCCAGGTTTCTCACAATAAAAGAATCAGTTTATCAGCAGACTCTTGATTATCCACATACTAAGTAACACGAACCATCAATGGTCTATAGTGTGACAGATGGGGGAGCAGGGGCGGATCCAGGATTTTATGAGGAGGGGGGTTCGGATTTTGGGTGAACGGTAATAAAGTCACAAATTTGACTTGGAAAATTTCGCATTTCCTTTAAATACTGTACCACTAATTAGTAAAGTAATAAACCCAAATGCCGTTTATGGCAGTTGTTAATTAATAATACATGACTTCCACAGACTGGCAACATAATATACAGTATCATGGGATTATAGGTACAGTACTTAAAAAAATCACATCGTACAGCATTAATATTTAATAACTTCACAAAGTAATGAAACAAACTTTGTCGTTATACTGCCCTGACAGCAGGCACTGGATCTTTTCTCACATTTCCATTGTAACTTGGTTTTGTGAGTGGCATGCTTGGTATTAGTATACATGAACTCCTTGAAGCAGATTTTTTTTTAACCACGTTTATAATTTTAGATTAAGTATACTGTAATATCAACTGACACCCCCCCCCCTTGGATCTGCCACTGGGGAGGTAACTACACTCAAGCTAGGCTTGCCCAGTACACCATGGAATTTATGAGTTGACCTAGGGCATCTGTCAAGTGGACCTGGTATCACATATTACATATAGGATGAAAGAGGAAAGGTACATCTGCACTGAAGTCTGAATATTTGTAAATGAGTTGGATTTCACAACAAGCCAGTGATGGTAATATACTGTAGTAGTTATATACTGGTACCTGTACTCGCTCACACCAGATAATCACAGACTCAGTACCTACATAACTGTGAGTGTAAGAGTGAGGTTACAGAGAACCTATACACAAAGATATATACTGTAGTAGCAGCTACAGAAATAAAATAACATGAGGAAGCTCATCACAATTAACTCTCAGGGTTTTCATACATATTTTGCATATGAAATTTATTTAACCATTTGGGAATTTCAAACCATTTTCAGGTATGAATTAGTGCCAAAATTTTTTTTTTTTTTTTTATTTGTGTATGATTTAGATTCATATCCAATGTACTGTACACCAAGCAGAGTGAGTATCTCACTAAGTGCCATCAGTGAGAGTCAGCATTGTGATGGGGCAGACCCTGAGCAGTTGATTGACTTGGATCCACCCATTCCCTACTGTTATGAGTGTCCGCTGTTAGTTTCTGTTCTTTGTATAAAATTCGTTGTTTCGGATGGTGTGTGGGTGTCTCGGGCAGCTTCGCTCACTACTCACCCACACCAACTGAGCCCTTATTTAAGTATTAACTTTGTTTATTACATTGTATTATGTTTTATTGTATTGTATTGTATTGTGGAATTAATGTCAGGAGGGTAATTTAAATATACTGTAGTTTTATGTCTTAGCCAATCAGGATATGTTACGTCAGTATTTGGCAGTAAAAGGTGACGTCGGTGACCAGCTGGAAGTCAGTAGTCAGTCTAGGCACAGCTGTCTTTAAGTTAAGTAATATACTCACTATCTCTCTCTCTCTCTCTCTCTCTCTCTTATGTTTTGGGAGTTGGAATTTGACTATTGTGATTTGTGTTGATTGATATTGATATTGTGTGATAATGTTGGACCTTCAGTCTTACTCAGCCACTTGCAAACATCTTGTCGTATTATTGTTGTTTTAGTGTTTGTTTGTTAATATAATATTTTTAATTAAATCTACTTCATGAATTTCAATATACCCCATAGTAATGAGGTGATGAATTTGGTGGGATCTATTCCTGGACCTATAGTACAAAGAGAAATTTGAATTTGTGATATTGTTACACCCTATGAGGCCAAGGGTCGTAACACCTACCCTGCTCTGACACACTTGAGGTAATAACGGATTAGCTAATATCGGACAGGTTGTGCTCTTAAGAATAAGCTGTCATTAATGTGCCTAGTCTGTTTGGTTGATGTGTTTTGCACATTGCCACAGCAGCCATGAGCTTTCATTTTCAGGATGAAAAGCATTAGCCAATTGAAAATGTGAGATACTGTACTGTACTTACATCAGAGATTCTCAGGGGCTGAGAGAACACTATAACCTCTAAACTGAAAATTAAACTGATCGCTAATGGCAATGTTTATTGACAGGGATCCTAGCTTTTGATGAAGCCTCAGAATTAGGTTCTGAATGGAATAGACAGGATCACCATCTTATCTAGTGCAAAATAATTGGGGAATACTACATCAGCTTTAGCCTTGTGTTCTTAACTAGGCTGCCAAATTCCATGCACTGGAAAACCTATAAGTGATTTCCTTGGGTTGCACAACAAATAAGATGACTGGGATGAAATACTTGGGTGGAGGTGATGGAACATTTTGTGATACAGTAATTTGCTTAAAGAACACTTCCTGTGTTCTATTAGGGTTTATTGTGTTTCTAGTTGACCACAGTATTACAAAGGGCCATTTATCCAGAAAAATTCAGTACCTACTAGAACTCTGTCCCAAACTTATCACAAATTTGCATAATTTTTTCTGGGTGCAGTACAATTGCATTACAGTATTATAGTACTGTACTATGCTGTATATTGTATACAGTATTTTGAAAAATAAAAAACTTATTTTGCTAAGCAAATAAATTTCTATTATTACTATATTACTGTACTATATTATTATTATTATTCAAAGCAAATGGCAAACTAACCTATACTTAGACTCGTCTGGATGATTGACGACATTTCTAAAGATTCGAATTAGGACCTCTAAGCATGCTCTTCTGTCCTTAGAAGGGAGGTCACCTAGCAGAGTAAGAGCTGCTTCTAGCGATGCCATAATCCTGAAAATAGACAAATCTGTATAAGATAGATTGTTGTAACTGTGCATGAAAAATTAATTAAATGTTTCAGTTGAATTACACATGAAGTATTAAAGTACAAAATCTCATTTTATGGTCAAGAGAATGGATCACCTGATGATTCTCCCGGCCCCCAACTTACCTCACCCAAAGATTAATCATCCTAATACAATTTAGGGTGATGAGGTTAGGCTAGTGTAAGGCTGTTTAATCATCCTGTGAAATAAGCTGAGGGAGGGTAGGGAAGAAAATTTTCAGGTGATCCAAAAGAACAATACAGTAAAAATGACCAGTGAGAATCCAGCAATACTGTACAATACAGTATACAGTGGCAGGATGATTGGGCCACGGGCCACGACCCTCAGATGTTTGGGCCATTGGATTTTATTATGCATAATGATAGAGATTTACACTGAGAAAAACAAATAAAATATATACCTGTATACTACCATACTGTTTAATAGAAGAGATGTAAATTGTAAAAAAAAAAAAAAAAAAAAATTGTATTCAAACCAGTAAATTACAGTATAATCCACCTTAATACCCCTGGGAACCTTCAGGTCATCACATCACATCACCACAAAACATGTCAAGATACAATACGGACGATAATGTTTCCTCTAGGACAATTTTGTATTTTTATGATTACTTTGACCCATGGCCCAAACATCCTAACTACCATGGACCAAACGTCCAGGGATTATGTCCCATGGCCCAATCGTCCATCTTCCACACTATACACCCCCAGACAAAGCCTGCCAGGGACCAAGATGCTTAATGACAGGAACACATTAATCATGTGGACAGTGTTGCAAGAAGCATTTACACTTAACATTCCAGGTACAAATTTGAATTGATAATTGTCTCAGGGACAAGTGACTCCTCAGGTCATGAGTCAACTCTCACAAGTGTTCACCTTGGTTCAAGGTCCCTTTAATAAGGTGAACTTATCCTCCAGCCCTCTCGGTAAAGGGGATTTCACAATTCATTCAATATTTATGGCTTACGTTGGTTCTCACAAGTGAGCCACAAGATTCTAAAAGTAACTTAAGAATGAAATGTTGTTATTTATCAAGAAAAGGTCCCAAATACATCATAAATTAAGAAGAGCATACTGCAATGTAACAAGTATAATGGATAAATCTTTTGTGCTTTCTTGTGCTAGTCTGTACAGCATATTAAAGATTTCCATTTCAACATATTTACTACAAAATCAAAGATTTATGGCCACTGTATCTTTGTAAAAGCTACTGCCTTGAACCCAGAGGTATGCCTCTCCTGCTTGTTTATGTATGTTCTACCAGGCAGTTTCTTCTACTATAAACCAGATTCATTGGCATTAAACACTTGCTCTGATCTAAAGCCTTTCTCTTCAATTATTTTCTTTAGCTTGGAAGGAAATGCACCTGCGGCTGTGTGGTCAGCTCATGCGGCCTCCTCAATCAGCTTCACATTGTGAAGCAAGAATCTTTTCTTAAAATTCTCAAACCAACCTTTACTGGCACTAAAGGTTGGTTCAGTCACTGCACTAGCCCCTTCACCACCTGTTGTCTCGTAATAATGAGCATAAAGATTTTTAGCCTTTCCACGAATCACGTTACTGTTGATCAGAACATTTTTGTGGTGCTGGTCCTCAATCCAAATGTTCAGTGCTTTCTCAGTTTTTACTATGTTCTTGTCACAAACAACCTGCACCACTTTAGCACTTGCAGGAGCACTCGTTTGAACAGAATCACGAATTGCTTGTTCATTCCTTCTTATGTACTGCACTGTGGATTCATTCACACCAAACAATCAACCAACTGTTGCAGCACTCAGTCCCTCTTTTAACTTGTCTAATAATTAAATTTTCTTTGCCAGGGTCATCACTGACTTTTGACTTTTATGTTTCGCTCCACTAGCATCACTAGTACTGACACTAGGCAGTCTTTTCAGGGCCATTTTCACAAATGGCATGGGATGCTAGGTCACGGGTATTGGGTGAGGGTAAACAGCGAAATGAAACGCCGTGAGTGAGTGGGGTGACTCGTTGCGCTGCGGGAGAAGGCTCGCATGCTAGCCACCAGCTGTTTACTGCGAATCGTCGAAATCGTGAATCGTAAACCCATGAATGGGAAGGGTCGACTGTACTCCATAGAAATTGAAAATGTATCCAAACCCATATGGGATTCGAATCCAACAGCAAGGTAGTTATAGGAATCTCATTCTTTATATAGTACATGGAATAGGTTCAAGAACCAATTGTGCAAAAAGAAAAAATTAAGATACTGTAAGTGCAGAATATAAACAAGAAAACAAGGAAAGTGAAGCCTATAAAATTGATAACAAAAGATAAGCAAGCCAATAGCAATTTTTGGTAATAAAATGCCTGATGTGACGCTCAGTCACTACAGTACAGTATCTGTAAGAGTTTACAAAGGCCGGATTCAAAATTTATTAGTTTGAGAGCAGACGAGAGAATAATAAGCAAATTATTTATGGTAAAAAATATATATTTTCACATACAAATCATGTAAACACATGGAATTACAGTACAGTGGTCCCTTAGTTAACGAACGGTTCGGTTAATGAATTACCTTCCATAAGAATCTTCAATTCGGTTAACGAACAAAAATTTGATTAACGAAATCCTTATGACAACATGTTTTGGCTTGCGCATCGACTGATAGGCTAGTCCGCCAATACAGTAATCGGTTCTAGGCTTTCATTCATTTCCATTGGAGTAAATATCAAGAAGGTTGTGCTCTTTAATATTTTTGCAAGTTTTATATTAAAATTATTAGTCATTTTAGCATTTATTTAACATAATTGATAATATATGCAGTACAAGGACTAGTTTTTGGTGCACCCATCAGCCACTTCACTCACCCACCAAAGCGTCTGTTTAACTCTCTGTATAGTGGAGGAAACATCTTGCTTGTGGGTCTCTTGAACACAAGAGTATCTTTATGTTTTTACATTATAATTATTGGTCATTCAATTTATTTAACATATTGATAATATATAGTGCAGTGTTGATTTAAATAAAATAATCTTTAATTACAGCTAGTGAACTTAAAATTTTAGTGGTGAAATTACTGTATTGAATCCAGCATGGGTCCAAAGAAATCGAGAAAGGCGATTTCAATTCAAGTGAAACAGGAAATTATTAAGAAACATGAAGAAGGCATTAGAACAAATGTACTAAGTAAAGAATATGGCATGTCGGCATCAACTGTGTCGACAATTCTTGCGCAGAAAGAAAAATTTAAAGAAGTGAAAGTGAGAGATAAATCTACCAGTGTTTAAAGGCAGATCACTAATTGCAGAAACAATGAGGTTACTTCTTATTTGGATTAAAGAAAAACAAATGAAAGGAGATTCAATTTCTACTGAATTTATTTGTGGAAGAGCCAGGGAAATTTACGAACATTTGAAGGATGATCAACCTAGTTCTTCTGAAACTGACTCTGAAGAGTTTAGGGCCAGCAAGGGCTGGTTCGATAAATTTAAGAAAGCAGTGACATTTTTAGTGTTGTTAGGCATGGTGAAGCTGCCAGTGCAGATAAAGAAGTAGCAGCAAAATTTGTAGTGGAGTTCAAAGAACTGATGGATGAAGAGAATTATCTTCCACAGCAAGTGTTCAATGTGGATGAAACCGGGCTGTTCTGGAAGAAAATGCCCAAAAGGACATTCATCACCAGAGATGAAGCTTCTTTACCGGGGCATAAACCCATGAAGGACTGTCTCACTCTATTGCTTGGTGCCAATGTTTCAGGGGATTTCCGACTGAAGCCTATGCTTGTCTACCACTCTGAGAACCCCAGGGTGTTCAAGCAACAAAAGGTGGTAAGAGGACAACTTGGAGTTTATTGGAAGTCCAACCATAAGGCATGGGTAAAGAGACAGCTCTTTAATGAATGGGCTGTTGAGGTGTTTTGCCCATCTGTGAAGAGTTACCTAACCAATAAGCTTCCTTTAAAGGCTCTTCTCCTTATGGATAATGCCCCTAGTCATGACCCTGAACTTTGGAGGCTCGATTTGACTTTGTCGAAGTGTTGTTATTGCCTCCCAACACTACATCAATTATGCAGCCATTGGACCAAAATGTAATCAGCAACTTCAATAAGCTGTACATGAATAAAATGTTCAGGTGTCATCAGGCAACTCCCACTGATCCTGAACTAACACTGGTACAGTTCTGGAAGAAACAATACAACATCCTGGAGGCTGTAAAATTTATCGTGTCATCATGCTAAGAAGTCTCCATTCGATCCTGAATTTTGCATGGAAAGCACTGTCGCCAACAGCAGTCCATGATTTTGAGGGATTTGAGGAAGAAACGGAGTTGGACAAGGATATTGTGTTCATTGGTCAGTCAATGGGACTCAAAGTGGAGGATGATGATGTTGAAGAGCTTGTGATGTCTCATGAGCAGGAACTTACTCCTAAAGACTTGAAACAACTGGAAGAGATGCTAGAAACAGACAGTGGTGAGGAGGAAAGGGAAAGTGATGACCATATGTCTTCTTCAGAATTAAAAGATGTTGTTCACCACTGGGAGATGTTCAGGAAACTGGCTTCAAGGCACCCTGATGTGGAAACAAAAGAAATGATTTTGTGTACTGTTGAGGACAAAGTGGTCTCCTCCTTCAAGAACCAGCTAATGATCAGGAAAAATGGCCCACAACCAAAAATTGACAGTTTCTTCTCTAAAAGGCAGCGGGAGAAAGATGCTTCCCCTCATCCTTCCACTTCAAAAAGGAGAGAGGATTTTCCTGTTGGAGAATCTGTCAGTCCAGAGGTTCCTGACATTATTATGGAAGGTGACTCGCCTTCCAAGAAGCAGTAAAATGCTTCTCCTCCACCCCTACTTCCTTCTCTTCTCCCTTCTCCTTCTCCACCCCCCCACTTCAAATTCCCATCAGCATCATCAACCAGGAGCCTTCTACATACACACCTCAAAGTAAGTGTACTTTACTGCATTTTTTTTTTTACCTTGT